TCCATCCATCCATCCATCCATCCATCCATCCATCCATCCATCCATCCATCCATCGTTAACTGCAATGCTCTTCCATATATCTCATTGGAGTCCTGCTTTTTCCTAAACCAAGGCTGCATCAAACATCTGTGTTCCTGGTAGAACCAAACCAGATTTGTGAATTTAACCATGATAAATAAACAATTTTCTGCTTTCAGCTGTTATTGCAAATTGTAGAGCTTACCAAGAACAACACACAAGTAAAACTAGCTGCACRGTGTCAAAGCTACTTCCATTTCCATTTTGGGTCTGTGTTACTCCCAGAAAAACRTACCTTCTTATGTTTCATATTTAGTGCATAAATTTAACCAGTGAGGATTCCTAATACGTTACATTTTCCACATCAGTCAACAGTCACATGTGTAATGAGAATTTACAGCTTTGACAGAGCCATGAAATCCCTGGATTAACAGAAGGTGCCAAATGTTTATTTTTAAATCTTTACAATGAGTAAATGAGTAAATAAATAAATAAAAATAACGTAATCACGGCTATTAGATGAAATGATGCAGTGACTGTTTTTAATCTAAATATTCTAATCACTGTCGTGGATTCACTATTCGTGTAAGACATTCCATTAAAACACATCTCACACATGGTTGTTTTATAATTTAGACACTTGTGAGTAAAGGAAGAGAGGAACATTTAACAGATATTTCCACACATTTTTCCTTGTTTTAGCTTCCTGTTTTTGAATATTTCTTTGAAGCAATGCTGGTGTTCTCATTGGACCAGTAATGCTCATTTGAATCACATTAAGTCTGAAATTAGGAGATATAAAGTCATGATGAGAAACACTTGTGAACAGTCTCATGAAAGTTTGAAAAACCCTCAGGCAAAACTCATTAGTACATACTACACTTTTCATAATAAGTAGAATTATATGGATTATACTAATATTGGTGTTTTATATTTGTTTTTGTTTTTTGTTTGTTTGTTTGTTTGTTTGTTTGTTTGTTTGTTTGTTTGTTTGTTTGTTTTTTCTGATGATCCTTTCTGCAAGCAAAATATTGCTCACGCAAAATATTTGGCAATTGTTTTACAAAACCTGAGTTCACATCTGCAACTTCAGAGTATCTGATCCCATTAAATGTCTGTTTTCCACTCTGTTGTTAAGCAGTTTTTCTATCCATTGTACTGATTGATTTTGAAGTATCAAAAAGATAAAGAAAGGATATACAAAATTTCCCACAACAGGATATTTTTTCAGCAACTGCATTTGGTAATGTTTTATTCATACAATTCCATCCATCCATCCATCCATCCATCCATCCATCCATCCATCCATCCATCCTTTTCTGCTTCTTTCGAGTCGGGTTGAGGGGGCAGCAGCTTGAGAAAGGAGGCTCAGACCTCCAAACACCTCTTCCAGCTCTTCGGGGAGGATTCCAATGCATTCTCATGCCAGCCACAAGACAGTCTCTCCAGCAAGTTCTGGGTCTTCCCTGGGGCCTCCTCCCAGTCAGACATGCCTGAAGCATCTTCCAAAGAAGGCGTCCAGGAGGTATTGTTACCAGATGCCAGAACCACCTCAACTGGCTCCTCTTGATGTGGAGGAGAAACGGCTCTACTTTGAGTCACTCGCCACCCTATCTCCAGCTATTATGTGCAGAAAATACATTTTAAATACCTGTTTCCGTGATCTCCTTATGGTCACTACCCAAAGTTCATGGCCATAGGTGAGGGTTGAAATTTAGACTGTCTGGTAAACAGAGAACTTTGTCTTACAGCTCAGCTCCCTCTTCACCACAAATGACCAGTAGAGTCCACAAAACTGCAGAAGTTGCACCGATCCATCTGTCAATTTAACACTCCATTCTCTATGCTTCAGTTAGAGCTAAAGATCAGTGCACAATGTTGCCAACAGGACTACATCATCTGCAAGTAGCAGTGATGAAATTCTGAGGTCAGAGCAGTATGAACCAAACTTTTGCACTGCTTACAAGGACTGAATGGCCCCGTAACAACAGACCCACAATCTCATAGTCGCATAGGACCCTCTATGKGTATCTTGAGGATCATGAATGCCTTCTCCAAGTCCACAAAACACATGTAGAGTGGATAGGCAAACTCCCGTGACCCCTTGAGGATTATAGTGGGGGCAAAGAGCAGTTTCCATGGTCAGGATGGAATCTCCATTGTTCCTCCTGAATCTGAGGTTTAATCATCAATCAGACTTACTTCTTCAGCACTTCTGAATAAATCTTATAATGATAACATAAATCTATAATTAATAATATAATAAATCTATAATTAGAACAGACCCACTGGTCCCCCATTTTAAAGAGGACACCCCCCCCCATCTGCCCATCCAGTGGCATTGGCCAAAGGTGTATTAACCGAGACAGCCCCACAATACCTACAGCCTTAATGAAATCCAGGCGTATCTCATCTACCAATGATGCCCACAGAAGTTTTTAACTACTGACCTCAGCCTTGGTTTTGAACAGACCAACCCTGAAATCCCCAGACTCAGCTTTATCCATGAAAGATGTGCCAGTGAGATTGAGAAGATACAAGGTGTATTCCTTCCACTTCCCAAACTACATCAATGGTTCAGATCGACAGCACCCCACCATCACTGAACACATTATTAATGCTGATTTCCCCACCCCAGCTGCCAGATGGTTGCCAGAATCTTCTCATGGTCAATCAAGAGTCTTTATCCAAGGCCTCACCGAACTCCTCCCACAAAAAGTTTTTGCCTCAGCAACAGTCAGGACTGTGGCCTCCTTGRTCTGTCAATTCTTCTCAACTACCTCCAGAATCCTACCAGCCACCAAGGCCCGATAGCACTCCTCCTTTAGCTTGACAGCCTCCCTAACCCAGGATAGCCACCAATGAGTTTGAGGATGGCGAGAAACACTGACAACCTTACGGCCACAGCTCAAGGCAGTCAGTTCAACATTTGAGGCATGGAACATAGCCCACTCAATCTCATTGAAAGTGGAGCAACACTTAGTGCCAGTATCAGTTACTGCACTTGGTGAGACAGAGGAGGAGCCAGGCCCGGATAGATCCCACAGTGCCCAGAGCCTCCAAGCACCACAAGATGGCCTCCTGAGGAGGCTAGCATTGTCACATTTTGTGGCCTGCTGCCAACAAAGAGTCAGAGTGGCATCAGTTTAATGTAGATTTTGATACGGTCCTTGAAGTAACAGCCAAAGGAGATGTGGAACAGAGGCTCATGAACAGCTTCATAATGACCATCACAATGTCTCACCAAGACTATCATCACAGCACTAATTTGAAACTGTTGTGAAGTAAAGACTGCCCAACGCAGGAAAGAGCTACAGGTTCTCAGGATACAGTTTAAGAATGTGAGTGAGCAGGGGAAAGCAGGTCTGGAAGGATTTAGAGGTGTGGTGCAGGGGGAGTTAAAAAAGATTAACGATGCTGAATGGCATAGTTGTAGAGGCAAGGAGAGGACCCAAAATCATGGTGCCTTCATTGAAAATTCATTCAGGTTAATAAGGAAGCTACTGGGAAAGAAGTGCAGAGGTCAACTCACATGTTCTGAAGTGGACATTAATCGTTATTTTAGTAATGACGGCATGAGAGAGTAAGGTCTTGGCCATTTTTCAGCTCTTGTTTGTCCACCTGAACCCAGCACCTTATTTAACATCAACTAAGAAACCCTCAAAGAAGACAGGGATGTCATTAGATTTGCTAGGACAGCAACAGCACCAGGCCCTAGTGGACAAGGATTGTAAGGCTTTTGGAACATCTTTGGAAGATCTTCAGAGCAGTGGCAGATGCTGTTCTTTCAAGTAGGAGAAGCTCAATCTTGGCCTACATGATAAAATGTGTTGGTTTATTTATACTGTATGTAAATTCTACCCTCCATTCCTTTTCAAGAAAATGATCTGTGAGCCTGTGACAGTGGAGGGGCCTAGCAGCACTTGCTGGACAGAAACTTTGATAGAAGTCTGAAAGAGTGACAGAAGTCAGTCTCCAAACACAAAAAACCCCAAAACAAACAAAAAATAAACACCAGAAATTGAAGCTCGGTTTGTTGCTAGTCATTTTTAACAAAGAAAATGCCGCTAAGAGGGTTAGGAAAGTCTCTGGTTCAGCTCAGAACAGAATGAAATTTTAAAAATGCTACCACTTACACCAAAAGATCGCTGATTTGCTCATTTCGCTGTCAATCAAAAAGGGATTCAGCCTCAGACAGATCATCCAATCATCATGCAGAAGCTGAGCGTCTGGGCCAGCCGAGCCGGATGCTGAGCATCCGATGGGTGGGACAAAGCCCAGCATTTATCCAATGACTTGTCTTGTTCGCTGCACTCTTTCCTTCGCTATTGAACCCTGTCGACACTGTTTAAAGCACTGTGAAGCTGCAGGAATGAGTGAGAGGAAAACTGCATCATTATCATGTACTGATGGTGGTCAGAGGGTCCAGTGGCACCTGTGTATGGCAGCCTCGCTTCTGTCAGTGTGCCCCAGGGTAGCTGTGGCAACAATTGTAGTTTGCCATCATCAGTGTGTGAATGTGTGTGTGCATGGGTGAATGTCTGTAATGTGAAGCACTTTGAGTGTCCTGGATGGATAGAAAGGCGCTAGATGAGTACAGTCCATTTACCAGTGAAAAGAAGCTGATTCTAAACAAAAGTTGACTGCGTTGTAGCGCATATTTAGTCAATGACATTTACACAACACTATATATTTGATCACTTATTTTTTTTATTTTATTTTTTACATTTAAGGGGAAGCTGAGTTTCCCTTGCAGTCTTAGAGAAATTGCCTCTGCTTCAGAGTAATCTGGAGGAAAGAATTACCTCAACAGTGAATATACACAAAGGACATGTGGATTCCCAAGGAGGAGAAAACTGGTAGAATTGAGCAGTTCAGGATAATCTCTGTCCTGAATGTTGAAAGGAATACCTTCTTCGAAGTTGTAACCAATTGCCTTATGAGATTACTCCTGATGGATAAGATTTTGCAACTTGGGGCAGAAGGAATGAGTTCCAGGGATCCCAAGGTGTATGGAGCACACTAGTGTCATGACTCAACTGATCCAAAAGGCACGGGAGAGTACAGGGGACCTGGCTGTTATATAGCTCGACCTCACCAATGCTTGTGGATTGGTAACACACAAGTTAGTGAAGTTAGCCCTGAGCAGATATCATGCCCCTGTCATGATTTGTCAGTTTTCACCTTGGTTTTCCTAGTGTTTCTATGTTCCCCAGTGTGTCTCAGCCCAGCTGCCCCTTATTAGTCTGATTTGTCACCCTCGTGTTTCGCACCAGGTGTTTTCAGTTCATCCATTGTATTTAAGTCCTGTCTTGTCTCAGTCTGGTGTC